ATAAGTGCACGACCACCACCACCACATCTCGAGCTCACAACTCCGGCCCGACCCTGTTACCTGAAAAACACAATGGGGGTGAGTACTGATCCTCTTGTACCCCGGAATCACCCATACTAAGGTAAACAGCAATAATAATACAATATCATGATCTTTGGTATATATCTGGACTGGAAATCTGCTCCAGTAACTTAAACTGAATCTGGCCGATATCTGATCGGATACTTGTGCACAATCTGATGGATATTTCTCAAGGCAACCAAACGGCCTCCATCAGAACTTAGGATATGCTCTGAGACAACTGAATGCCTTCTCATCCCAAGCGTATAAACTTAAACTGTATACATACCTCGGACATGATATCAATATTATACTCAATGTAATACCCAGTCTGGGTCCCCACCTTTCTTCTTTTGAAAACTTTTGAAAAATGTAAGTGTTGCTCTTGGGTAGTTATATCTGCAAGCTACATAAAAATATAAACAAATATACTAATTACTATGCTCTTATACTCAATAAGATTTAACTCTTACTTATCCGAATCTTAAAGATATTCAATAAGCTTAATATGTCTCAAATAAATATTAAGTCATCAAACATCTTAACTTTTTCTTAAACTTTTACTCCTCAAGGTTAATTACTTAACCATATATAAATCATATCTTCAAAATCATAGATATTGGTTTATACTCACATGTCACTTAAATAACTCAAATGTGAAAATAACTAAATTTCACATTACACTTGATTGAGTACTTAAACTCAAAACATGCTTAACTTTTACCAACATCATATTCATGATTTATAAACTCATCTTAATCTTTTACTCAATCAAATACTTAATTCATTATACATCATATCTCCCAAATTTTAAATATTGGCTTATATTAAATTTTCACTTAATTAACTTGAAAGTGAAAATAAACGCAAGTCATACTTCAACTTTTTAATCATAACATTTAATCATGATATTAATATGTCATACTTAATACAATCTTTATGAGATTATATACTCAACATATTAAACTAAAACTTTGCCAAATTTCTCATCACTTATATGAGAATTGATCATAATAATCTCACTTTAACAGTTTGATCATATCATGAATATTCTTGCATATATACTCATCTTTACATATATGCCGTCTAAATATCTTACCTCATTCATTTCTCATCTTCAAATCATGAAATTTAACAGTCATATTCTTAACTCATATTTAGACATGTCATAAAAATTTCATAATTTTATCATGCATACATCTCGACTTATTCAAGTTTAAAGTTGCTGTTGGAAACAAGTACATAAAATTCAGCTTGCATGATAAACTTTAAAAATTCATATCTTGAGTTATATTCAACTAAATGACTTGATTCTTGATCCTATGTACTCCTCTTTTACACAAGAAATAACCATAGGAAGCATAGATTTCCATATTTTTCATAGCTAGGTAAAAATCTCATCATAACTGAACACATATGACATATATATGAGCTGGAAATAACTTATCTTCTAGCATGCTTATACTCTTATAAAACTTTAATATCTAAGTCATATAAAAACATTATTAAATACTTAATATCATCTACTAAAAATGATAAAAATATAGCATCTAACCTCCTTCTTGCTTGAAAATCTATAGTTGCTCCTTGACTTCTTCAAAAATTAAAACTCTACTATTTTTATTTTTATTTTTCTCTCTCTTTCTATCTTTTTGATGAAACTATGATGATTTGAGAATTACTTGATGATAAAATCTGATTGAAATGCCTCTATTTATAGCCATGAATGAGCTTTTGGTAGATAAAACTTAGTCCATCAAGTTTAATAAAATTCTCACCCATTTGTTGAAAAAAATGCTAACTTAAAGACTTTGCAAAACTTCGTTGTGAGTTTCTCATCTCATTCTCACCAATTGATGACCAAAATTTTGTGCTTAATGTGATGGAATTTGTTCCATATATTATTGAAAAAATGTCACCATTCATCATATAAAAATCTTTGAAAACAAAATAATAAAAATAATAAAAATCATCCTTTTGATCACTTATGCATTTTATTTCAAAATGGCTGACTCTTAAAACTATTTTTATGAAAATTAATGCTCATATATGGTCTTAGAACATGCTAAGAAAAACAAGAATAATAAAATTTACGGAACTCAATTCGGACTTAAAACGAACGTTTACCGTAAAACTGAAAATTCTAAAATTTAAATCTTTTACTCCTGGTTTTTCCTTCAATTTACTGAACATATTGCTTCTTAGAAGCTAATGTAATGATATTGGAATATTCTAACTTTTACAGAACCACATTCGGACTTAAACCGAACGATTACCGTAAAACCGAAAATTCTAAAAATTTCGGTTTCTCTTAAAAAAATTTAAATAGACTATACTGTCTAAATAAATTTTCTCACTTCTTTGAACATTTATCACATAAATGTTCATGGATACTTAACCTTACTTCGAGACTTAACTTGTATCAACTTATGCTAAGGCTCAATATTATCATCTTATCTTGATGACTTAAACACTTAGAAAAATTCTAAGTATTTAGTACTAAGACTCGGCTATTTCTTAATTAATTTTAACTCATGACCGAACATACTTGGGTTCAGTTCACCACTTACCTTAAACGATTAATCAAAATATACTTAATTTCTATTATTCATCATCTTATATTAATTAATCCCATCTTATAAATCCATTTATAAAAATAAACAGACCGGAATTAATTAATTACTGAACTGGCTCGATTAATGAATAAAATCGAACCGAGAATACTTTCGACTTAAAGTCGAATTTTTAACTGAATAACTTAATAACTGGCTCGGAACTAGGAACGAGCATTATTAATAAAAGTAATTGGTTCATACTTAGAATAATTACTTTTATTAATTACTTAATGGGATATTACACCTCGGGGTCGGACATTAAGTATGCAAAGACACCCAGACTCTACTCCAGCTCGGGGTCAAATACACATCTGATGGTCTTAATAACCATGGTTACAGACCTCCGAATATCCCACACTTGGGACTTCTTCGGTTGTCTGCTCCCTTCGTTTAAGTCTTCTCCTTTCGACATGGCTCGCGAATGGTCCTCATCCGAGGACACCAAAAATACATCGAGAGAACTGTTATACACAGAATTCGGCTCGATAACATTATATCGAATTTCTAAACAAACAAAACCTCAAGTTAGAACTTAACTCTATAACGCTAGAGTTTAAGTTCATACTGCCAAGGTTCGCCACTCATCTAAAGTTCCAGAACGTTTAAAAGTAGGAGGATATATTCCTAAGTCCCGGTTTACATCTCATAATATCATAATATTTCACATAAGCAATTCAAAATTTGCTCAAGTATTCATACCTGAGTTGGCGCGGCACGACGGAAGCGAGTGGTCATAACTATACCATAGTATTCAATTATTTCTCAGAGTTCACATACTTCGTACATACCAATCTATAGAAACGCAACCTGGCTCTGATACCGAACTGTAACGCCCCACTTTGATTTTAAGGAAATTCCGGACTTTCAGAAAATCAGAATAAATTTTTCAAAATTTATTTCAAACATTTGTGGCGTTACTCATTTTTCAAATGACATAACATCAATTCATAACATAAATCATCTAACTCCCAGATTGGGATCCATAAATCCATAAATCACCATTTCACCTAAAACGGGTTCCCAAAATAAAACTCAAGTTTTAAGACATGACAATGTCAACGTGGCATCTCCCAATAGTATCTCAATACTTCATAAATTCTCAAGTTCGAAAATGCATAAATCGTAAATAGTCATAAAGATAGCGGAAGCAAAATCATTTAATAACCGGTCTCATAGACCGACTACCACTCGTTCTACTCCGCCGTCGTACCTGCCTTGCTTAACCTAAAACATGAATTTCAGGTGGGGATGAGCACAGTTGGAAATCGTAGTGCTCACCACTATGCAATAAACATTTTCATAACATAAACAGAAATAGTATGATCACAGCATGTATAAGAATCAATCAAGTATCCCCAAATATTTCATCATAAATTCGTGTTCAGACTCATGTGCACATCTATACCAATAGACTACTGCCGGTAGATGTATCGAAGGCCCTCACTCGGGTCATGCTTCGAATGCCCCATGGGCTCTACATCTATGCCCTCCGGTCCTACACATCGAATCGCCCCAAGGGCTTCCATTGATGCCCGGTCAGTAGGAGTAACCCCTCGGGTTTTCATTTCATAAATACGGGACAACCGTTCGACAGCCGGTACAGCTCACATCGAAGGCTACATGATTCGTAAGCACGCATTGATCATATTCAAGTACAATAAACAATTTATTGCATAGACGATTTTTAAATAAAACCCACCTGGATTTCCGAGTTGAAAAACTTGACAAGCAAAGGGTGTAGGTCGAGGCTTGACTCCTCAATTTACACGTTAAGCAAGCCTTGATATCATTACTTTAAGACTTAAACACTAGGTGGATCATAAAACACGTTGTCCGAGGTCCAACTCGGTCTTATTAAAACGATAGGAAAATAAAATCTTATGATTTTCACTTGTATTATTACATATTTTGATTCGATAATATTGAACAACATAAATTCAGCCCGGGCTCGAAAGAATATCGTTCTCGGGAAAACGATATGTAAGGGAAGTCGAACGAGGATTGACGGTGCACGATGGGGCTCGACGGCTCACTGCTGCTAACCCTCACGACAGCAAGCTGCCCGTTGTTATACTCGCACGGGCCTGAAAGGGCCGCTGCTCATCGGAAAAAGGACCGGCGGCCCTCAGCCCGGGCCTTCTTCAATCAGAAAATGGTTCTTCAGCCCGTGACGGTTCTCGACGGTCACCTGGGCTCCTTGGTTTTGCGGTAAGAAGGAAAAACTCAGCCGTTGAAGGTCGGATTTGGGACTGCCGCTGCCGGGGATTGGGGTTCTACAACTGCCCGAGCTCGTCGGGGCTTGCGAAGGTTGTTTCAGTCGCGCAGGTCTGCTGCTCTTGCCGGAAAATCTGAGTGCATCGCCGGTCGGAGGCTGAACCTGAAAGCTCAGGCTCGCGTCGCCGGCGAGGTGAATAGAGCTCGAGGTTGTGGGCGAGAGATCGCCGGAGTTCGGGGTCTGCTCGCGGAGGTTAGCTCGCGGCTGGCTTCACGTCATGGTGGCTCGGCACTGGGGTTCTGCAGGCGCGGTCGGGAAGGACTGATTTCGCGAGCATAGGGGGATTCACAGCGGAGGGGGTCGCCAGAATCGCTGCGTTGACATGAGCTCACGGCAGAGGAGTTGCGCGATTGTGAGAAGTGGCCTGCTCCGGGTGGCGACGAGACAGCAACTCGCGGTGGTGATGGCGACGGAAAGGATTCAAGGGATAGGTGAGATTAACGAAGAAGATGATTCTCTCTTCTCTATGTCGCGTGGTCGAGAGGAAAAAGGAAAAAGATTGTGAAAGCTGCGGGACGATATTCTGAACGAACGAGGCCAAAAATAAACAATGTCCAATGGTTCTTTCAATGGGGTAGGTGATTCCTATCAGTTATAAACAGTAAACACAATTAATCAAATCACACAAAGATATAGAATTTCTTATAATCAATACATTTGAAGCAATAAAAAATTTAAGGGTATGACAAGAAGTATATACCTGAGGAAGCACATGTAATGCCCTGACTGCACCAACAAAAGTCTGAAAATAAGAAACCAAGAATTCAACATATACCTCTTATGAGGAAAAACATAAATCAAAATGAAAAGGCACAAATTGACAATGTGAAATAGAAGAACTTACAAAGGTAGAAACAACATCTACAAACTCATCCCTGGCTGTAAGAACGGAATAGGAAAACATAAACATATTAGGATAACAATACAGTACAATAAAGACAAATATTCTACTACACATTAAAGAAAATTTTAGAGGAATTTGGACAATAACCTTCACCAACAACAGGAAAAACATTGGTTCCAACTTTTGAAAGGATCCAATTTTGAAAACATCACTGATGAACAAATTTAAAGGTTCTAACTTTTTAAAACCAAATTTTGACTGCAACACACATAAATCCAGAACATCGAAAGGGAGACCGACCCGAAAAAAAAAAAGGATATTAAAAAAACAGGTCGTTGTTACTCGTTTCTTGAAATCATCTCTCTCGTCCTCAAACCTACCTTCGTTTTGGTCTATCTGGAAAGGACACACCACTTAGAAGATTCAGATTAAGAAATTCACTTTCCCTTAAAACTGAAGAATGGTCGTCAGCCCATCAGATGAAAAATCAAACCTATAAGTGCATTTATGACTGTACACGCTAACCTTAGAGTCGTATATCTTACTGTAAGTGCGGCGTGGGGCTTCAAAACGGCAATCTCCACGGGAAAATGTTGGCTGACGAACCCTAATTTCACAACAAAAAAGGCACAGAAGCATAATTTTGAAAAGAAATTGTTGATACCAAGATAGAATATCTTGAAATTAAGATTAGATTAAAGAAATCATGAAGTCTAGCCCGCAAAACTGGATCTTGGACGACGTAAAGCAAAATATATGGCACCTCGGTAATATAATCTTGGAACTTGAAGATGGTATTACAAATCTTCAAGATTCGTCCACATAAGTCATCGAAACCTTGAAAAGACCAACTCGGTTGAAGAATAATTTATCAGGAAGTCATAGAATGCTGAAAGTTTATCAAAATACCGACATCATAAGACGAACCGACTTCGATCCGACAGATGTGACACCCGTCACACAGATAGAGGCGCGCCCATGCTGATCATTACCTAAAAAGTTCATCTACGTCATCGCCGCCCCTAAGATGTCAAATCGCCATTAAAACGGGAATGATTTGTCTAGGGAAGTGTGCCAAGCATAACTATAAATAGCAGTTTCGAAAACAATACGAGGATTCGGCAAAAAGTTATAAACACTCATATATTTAACTCGGTTATTTCATTGCTTACCGACTTGGTATATATTAAAAAACCGACCTCCCAGTACTGTAACCGACTTCAAAAGTCTTCAATAAAATCTCATTTTTTACGATCTTTGTGTTAAATTTTACATTGATTACGTTGATTTAATCCGTTTATCAACATTTTGGCGCTAGAAGGAGGGCTCCATAAGATATTTGGAGTTAATTTTCGAAATATACACACCACATCTCATAAAATCAAGAATGTCGCAGTCCGGACAAGACAATCCAACAACCATGGGAAGTGCCGTTCGTGTTGTTGAACCACCAACCGGTCAACATAATCCAGTGCCTGTAATGCCGGACATTACCCTACTCATGCAGAACCCTGAATTTGCTCGTGGACTTACTGCTTTGGTGGCCCAAACCATGCCGGGGCCATCACACAGGGTACCAGGACAACCTTTTGCTCCTATAACTCCGGCGAGACAGCAAGGTCCTCCCATACAAAGGGATAACAATAATCAAGCGGCGTCCCATGCCACTTCACAACCACGTGACAATAATCCGCCCCCTCCACCGGCGAACAACGTATTGCCGGCAGAGATGGATCAGCCTGAAATGGGTTAACCGGAGATGGTTGCTGAAAGTCATCCCCGGCATGCCCCCAGAATTCCTCATGCAGCTCGTTCGTTGTTTCAACAAACCGAGAATCCAGTTGACCTGAGAGCGCAAATCGAACGTAATCGTTGTGCTCGACGTAACGCTTCCGAGGTTGAGGCGTTAAGAAGAAAGGTGGCGGAGTTGGAAGCCCGACAAGCCACTCAAATCAGGCCTTATCAGCACCCACAAGTACCAGAATCGGGCCATGTCTATATGGAAGTCGGTTCTCCTCTGGCAACCGAGTTAACCAGAGGTCCTTTGCCTGGAAAAGTCAAAGTTCCCCAAATTGGCCTCTACGACGGAAACGCTGATCCTGATGCTCACCTCGGACATTATACGTCATGGATGGACTTGCATGGTGCTGACGATGCTCTGCGATGTCGTATGTTTTCCTTAACCTTAGGTCCTAAAGCTCAGAAGTGGTACTATTCGCTACCGACTGAATCGATCAGATGTTGGGGTCAACTCAGATCAGCTTTCAGGTCCCATTTCATCGGGGCCCAGATTAGCTTAATACCTAAGGAGTCAATTTCGAATATAGTCCAAAAGGAGGATGAAAGTTTAAAAGATTATATTGCACGTTTTAATAAACGCGTGCAAAACATGGAACCTTGTCATCCTGAGACTCTCCTGGTCTCAGCAATCTCAGGATTAAAACCAAGATCCATGTTTCGTTGGGCGTTGTGTCAGAACAAACCAAACACCTTTCAAGAATTCCTTGTTCGCGCTCAACAGCATGTGACTGCCGAGGAGTCCATGTCGGTTCCTAACTTTGAGTTCTCCCCATCAAAAGAGCAGAAGCCGACTTTTGAAAACAAGAAAAAGAAGCATCTCGGTAACCCATCCAAGAGTTTACCTTTCAGAGAACCCTACAAAGGTGAACTGAACGATACCGACATAAAAGCTGCCAGGAGACAATACAAGGAAGATTTAACCACAGGTTACCGATCCATCTACTCGGTCGGTGCTGCAACGGTTTATCAAGAGATCAAAGGAAAAGGAATCATTCCTGAAGCTCGGCCAGTCAAGACCCCTGAAAGTCAGTTGGACAAGTCACGGTATTGTGAGTACCATCGATCTCCAGGTCACAACACCGATGAATGTTTAAGTTTATTGTCGGCTCTCCTGAAGTTGATAGGAAATCCACAAGTGAGAAAATTTACCAAACATGAAGGTAAAGAAAGGCGACAAATAGCTCATATTCCTGACCGAGATGAAGAAGACGAAGATGCCATGAACTCCAAAAGAATTCGTCTACAACAAGGAGAAAAGGAGATATTCATGATGGGGGCCGAAGGATCCAGGTCGGTTGATGACCGACTTGGAAAGAGCGGAAAGAGAAATAGGGACTTCGAGAGTCCCAACACTGGCCAAACTCCTCAAATCCCAATTCGGTTGGGTTCCGTTCCCCGAATTAACACTAACCGAGAAGAGTTAACGTCTTCACGTCGGCAGGCCAAAGCATATGCTAGAAGGGCATACAACTCGGGGAAACAAGTAATGACTACCGACTTGAGGGAAACGATTAACTCGAGCACATGCCCGATCACTTTCACATTAGAGGATACAAGCTTGTTTGATCATCCTCATTCCGATGCGTTAATCATAACTGCCCCAGTTTGCGGAATTCCAGTTCATCGTATAATGGTGGATACCGGTGCGTATTCAAGTATCATTATGCTTCAAGCCTTTAGGAAGCTCGGACTTGATACAACCGACGTCCGTCCATGCAACGATAAGATACATGGATTCAACGGGAGCGTATCTCTTCCGTTAGGAGAAATCACTCTTCCCATCAGGTTCGGACATGGGCAAACTTCCAAGGTTATCATGGAAAATTTCAAAATCATGGACATCAACAATGAATATAATGCCATCATCGGAAGGACGGCCCTATACAAACTGCGAGCAGCAGTGTCCATTTTTCATTATGCAATCAAGTTTCCAACCGCTGATGGTGAGGGGACTCATTATGGCGATCAGTTAGGAGCTCGTGAGCTAATCTTAGCAATCCCCTCTAGAGAAATCCATAACGTGGAAATGTACGTCGAGGAAGAAGAAGAGATGACGGACTGTACCTGAATTCCACGAAGTTTGGTTCCCGACATTCAAGATGCCGACCTTAGAGTTGTCACAACTCTATCAGAAGTTCAGCCGTCGTCGTCAGTTACGAATTCGTGCAGCTCGGTTTACTCTGGATAAACGCTTTATAAAAGAGGGTACTCGGTCCCTTTATTAAAATGTATACCAGAGCAAGAATCACTCTTTGTGCTGCAAGAAATCCATGACGGAGTCTGTGGAAGTCATTCAGGATCTCAAGCGTTAGCTTACAAAATTTTGAGACAAGGGTATTACTGGCCAACTTTGAAAAGAGATGCTGCGGATTGGGTCAGAAGATGCGTCAAATGTCAGATATTCGCGCCTAACGTCAACTTAAATCCAGAACCACTCAGGTCGGTATTCAGCCCGTGGCCATTCGCAAAATGGGGGATCGACCTAATTGGGCCCTTACCAACTGGGAAGGGAGGAGTTAAGTATGCAGTTGTTGCAGTCGATTACTTCACTAAATGGGCCGAAGCAGAACCATTAGTCACGATCACCGAACAGAAAATGATTGAATTTATATGGAAAGTGTTAATATGTCGGTTCGGTGTTCCAAATTCTATCATGACTGATAACGGAAGACAATTTGAAGGCAAAAGGCTCGCAGAATTTTGTGAAGAATACAAAATCAAGCATTTCTTCTCCTCTCCATATCACCCACAGGCAAATGGTCAAGTTGAAGCTGTGAATAAAATCATCAAA